ATATATTGAATAGATGACTGGATATTTTTAGTCTGATTGCTTAATTATTTGATTTTGTAATTTTAGAATCTGAATTATTGTGTGAATCATTTTACGTACTCAAGCATAACAAAATTTGAATATATATATATATATATAATTATTTTGTTACATTCATTCAACGAATAAGTAAAGTGAAAATAAAATAGGCATGAATCCTGTCAGATCATATCGAAGAATGAGCATTACATCATTTTGGAATCTGAATTATTGTATAAAACTACTTTTATGTAATCAAAGATAAATGAAATTTGAAAAGGAAATAAGTATGAATTCTTCCAGATCAGATCAAATAATGATTGTTACATAATGATGGGGAAGAGATGATAGAAAACGTTACACAATTGAGATGAGTAAAGAAAAAAATAAAAAATAAATAAACTAAATGTTTTGTAACCGAATGTAACAGTTTTAGGTGGTATGTGAAAAATAATAAAATTGAATGTTGAAAATTTTGAAGAGATAATAAAATTTAATGCATAAAACTAATAAAAGTGAATGTTGAAAGTTTTGGAGGGATAATAATTTAATGTTTTGTTACTCCTCTTTATATATATATATATATATATATATATATCATTATTGGTAGACTTGAATAAAAATCAAGTATACTCGCGTATTTTTATACACAAAAACAATGATACATAAAATTAGAAAACATTATAAATTTAGAATTATGAGGAGTTAAAATTTACATTTACACTAGAAAAAATTATGGAGAACAATAGTGGAAGAATTAATTTTATAATACAAAATAATGTTATATAAATACAATACTTAATTATGATGCGAGTGTGACAGAAAAAAGGCAAAATAATAATTTTATTTATATTTATAAATATGTGAATAGATAATAAGTTATATAAATAAGTATTAATAATTAATCAATAATTTAATCAATTATGTTGAAAAATATGAAATGAAAAAGAAAAAATTAATTAATATATTTTCTTATGGGTTCATAAATGAATTTGAAACTATAAGCAATAGACAAAGCTAAAAATAATTTATAAATCCCTCTCCAAACCCTAAACCCTAATTTCACTCTTCCACACCCACCTCCGCAAGGTATGAAGAAGAAGCAAAAGCGAACACCTCCGGCCACCTCCGCCGCCGCGACCACCCCCACCACCATCGTCTCCGCCGACTCCGACCTGAAATCCTCTATCCATTTTCATAGCGAATTCTTCGATCGCTTGGTTGAACTGATTCCAGCTAGATTCTACCTTCCGACCGACGATCCAGATTCAAAGCCATGGTACCAAGGCCTCTCCAAAGCCGCCAAGGCCTCATTGAAACAGCAGTCCAAGCAGAACCTCAGGCTAGCCCGCCGCCACCGCTTTGACCCCGACGGCGAGCCCTCCTCCACACTCCACCTCCTTCAGCAGCAGCAGCAGCAGAACAGCAAAAGTTCAGATGGTCGTGAAAATCTCGCTGATCTTGAGGACGATGACCAGCCCCGTACGGATGAGGATAAGGCGAAGTCTGTTACTTACGAGGAACTCCGAGCAAAACTGCGGAGAAAAATCGAGCAGCTGAGAGGTAACAGGGGAGAGGGGAGCACTCACGAGAAGAAAATAAAAAATGAAGGAAGGAAGAGGAATAGGGATGGCGAGAATGA